ACACCCATGCACGAAGCTGGAGCAACGGCCCTGCATGCGCAGTGGTTCACTACACGTTGTCGGCCACCTTTGCGGTCTGCGGTCACAAGCCCTGCCGAGATAATGAGGTCTGGGGTCAGGCTTATCGTACATTGGACTAGCAATGCACGTTAAAAACCGCAAAGCGTATATTGAACAGCATGTCAGGTTCACTGATCATGTTAGCGTGTCGGCTAAAATTCTGACCTGTACTGTAACTCCAACTTTTCACAGGCAATGTCGGTTTTTGCCCAGCTGTGTGGACTTATCTTTGACAGTTTCACGAAAATACATGGAGGGGTAGAACTTATGTTTGTTGTTATGTTTGACTGCGAATTCAACATGAACATGCTGACCAGACATTCCAGATGCTGATGGGAACTCTTACTGAATCTTTCCCAAATCACAGAGAATCTTTTGCATTCTGTCAGTAGTCATACACAGTGTCACATTGTCTTGTCTCTGACCAAGTCTGCATGTCCATCATGTCAGTAATGACTGTCTGTAAATTATTAGTTGATAACGAAGGCAGTGCACTCTCTAAGGACAGATAAAGTCAACTGACAGTAGTCCAGATATTTTACAGAATAGGCCCTCCAAAGCAATGTACAGTGACCGTTGAGTTGAGTATATCATTATCAATCATCACGATTAGGCCCTACGTACAAACAAATGGGTTTCACACATTCACATGACTGACACGGTTGAGCAGACGGTTTGGGTCCAGAGAAAAAAAGGCGCAATACTTACCTATCGTAGATATAAATGTTGTATTAAATGTGTCGTCTGAAAATCTGAAGAGAATACACGTCTTTCCGACACCAGAGTCTCCGATTAGTAGTAATTTAAACAGCAAATCGTACGTCTTTTTCGCCATTGTTGTGCATGTAAAAAGTGGCAGAATGTATGCCAACTATGTCCAACCCAAAAATGGCCGCCGGACGTTACCGCAGTCATTTTCTCTACATGCCCAATAAACAAATCTCGAACAAGAACCCTCAAAAAAGGAATTTCAAAACACATTAACTATACACTTACACTTTGAAAGAGTTTTTATTTTACATAGTTGTACTTTAATGGATATATAAGCTTGAATTTTTATTTCCAACAATAAAGTGTATTAAATTGCAATGCATCATGGGACTTGTAAACTGTTGGATGAAGATCATGGTATTTAACCTTTCAACCATGAGTCATCATGGTCACGGACTTATGTTTATTCATCAGTAGTTGTCGTCACTGGCGACAAGTCACATAGCATGCATTCGCGTAGTGCGCAAAGTCCGGGGGTTCTGTTTGACGTCCAAGTTCGGAGTTTACAATGAAATGCTTAATTCTGATGTTGAGAGAGCACATAATTTTGAGGAACTCTCAGGAAGCTTAATTTCTTTAAGCTCAATTTTTACGGGCTGCTGCAGCTGCTTAATACAGTAACTTCCCCTCAACGTTCCAATATCGGATAAGTTACCGACTTTTTTATTATGCCTTGATGAATCAAGTAATCTCCACTGCTCTGGAACATAGTAAATAAATTATCATAAATAAGAAAACAAGATTTGCAAATTCAAGTCCTGCTAAATGTCCTTTAAAATTTTCCCCACTTTTCTGGCAAATATACAGGCACTGGAAGTAAAGAAAACATGAAACATTTCATCGTAGGAAAGAAAACACTCTGTCCACTCAAGATAATTAGGTTTTGTTACTAGTATCATTTTTAATGAATGACGTAATATTCTCTGAAATGTCACACACACTAGTTTAAGGAATACTTAAAACTAAACAAAACAAAAAAATAGTTACTTGTACATTTCATAAACTAAAAAAAATCCATTCCGTTCTTGGCCTAAAAGCTTGGATGTTCTCCTGGTAAGCTCTGTATTCTGTTCATATTTCTACACCATTAATGTCTTGAATAAAAAGTAAGCTGCGATTTGAATGTGAACACTCTAACAACTTACACATGTAATGACTCTTCATAAACTTAAATAATTTAAATTTTATTATTCCAAACATTCTGTCTGGAGAGGGTAAACGATGTAGCAAAACTTCTTTTCCAAGTCATGAAGTGTGCAACCTTACACATCGAACATCCTATCTGCATGTAAGACAAGTTATGTTTACGAATATAAAAGACCTCAGTATGAAGTGACATAAATGCCAGAGCCAATAATTCAACAAACATTTCATGAATGTTGCTTTGTAGCTTTTGCAGATAACTGCATAAATATTATGACAATCCAACAAGGTCAGCTTTTGCCAAGTTCATCAGCTCTGTAAATATTTATATGCATCTTTTCAGGGAAAGAATCAAGTCAAACGGTGCAAGATTTCAGGATGGACTCAAAACTGGAATTCTCTTTTGGTTTGCACAGAGCTTCAAGAGGAACAAACTGGACATCCCTTTTAATAATTTGTCCTCGTCCCCCGAAAAATGATTTTCTTAACCCTAACCCCCAAGGGTTGCTGGCCGTAACCTGCCCCATGAACACAAAGTTAAACACCCATGTGGGACTTAGTGCACAGAGGCTGTTGGACTTTGTTTTTCTGAGGTATGCCAAACCCAATGCAAAAGCCAGCTGTTATGGGCCTACCAGACCTATCCCCACAGAATGAAACACTTTACTACTGTTTAATTATGTGTGGTTGGGGAAGGTTAGGGTTAAAACTGAAGGCATGGCGAATTTGAAACAGAAGTATTTCCTCATGATAATGAATTTAAGAATAGCTTCTTTCACTTGGCAAACTCAACAGTCCTCTACATCTGCAGCCAATGAACTGCAAAAACAGTAGACTTGTCAGAGTCTCTGTTGGGTTTCGATTTACCACTTTGATGATAATCTGTTTACAGCAAACATCAATAAAATGTCATCAATGACATCACAAAAAGCGGTGTAACATGGAGTTCCATGCAAAGTGAATGACAGTTTGTGGGGACAGAATTGGTGCGAGTATTTTGCAGGAAAATTGAAACTAAAGCACAACTAGTAGATCAAGTTAATCAATTTCCCCTTAGGTTATTGCACGAGAATTACACTGCATAATCAAACAAAGCATTTCTTAAAGGATATTTGTCGACTGACATCTTTCTAAAAATCATTGCAATCAGCTAAAATGTATTAAGAAAAGGCCAATATGCAGTAGGTCGTTCACGTTACAAATTTGTTAAAAAGTGAATGAAATTTCAAAAACAAAATTTTGTAGCCTTTTGTAAGAGTAAAGTGAAGCTTTTCATGTTATGTAATCAAGGAAGTATTCGCATCTATACCAATCTGCACAAACAGAGGGCAGTGTTTAATTTTGTAATAGGGGACGAGTGTGGAGCACCTTTACTTATGATGTTTGCTAAGTCACTACCTTCAATCTTCAACTGAATGTGCATAAAACCTAACATCTGGTTCTGAAAAAGGAATATGTCCTTATAAAACATGTACTTTGGAATAGTCAGCATTTGAGGATCATGCTTTGTATCAAGCCAGTAACAACTGTTCCATTAAATGAAAAGGTTACATACTATTCAAATACTTCATTCCACATGCCGTGACAACAAACTCTGAGCTTTTTCCTAACTTTCCCTGTTTCACATCAACCAAAATAACAAAACTGGGAACCAAAATAAAAACTGAGCTAAAAACAATACTGTCTGTATGTTACAAATAAAACTATGTACAACTTGTAAAATAACCATGTGACTATAAATTATGAGCAAAATATGTTAATCAGCTGCAATACTGCAGTTTATATTTACAAAAGACTTGCTACCTCATTTGAATATTTTCTGAATCCTTCTTGGGATAGAAAACATTATCTGTATATATATATACAAGTACACTGTACATTGGTCACAGGTTTTACTTGATAATAATTAACTATCTTCTGATGACACCAATTTCTAGTCTGCAGAATTCTCTTTAAAATTGAAGGTGGGGAAACTTTAAAAATCTCGCATTTGTTCCCTGAATAAATTCAATATTCAAAGAAACTGGGAAGCCGGAAACAGAGACAAGTAAGCAAACTGCATTCTGGTTTGAAGGAGAAAAAGCCTCCAAACTTGGAATGCTGTTTATTTGACCTCTTGACTTTGTCTGGTTGAGCAACAGCACTTCATTGAAACCACTCATAGTATCGTATCTAGCACCCAAGAGATGAGCTGGTTTGAACTTAAAGAGATGAAAAGCCAAAGGGTTCTGCATAGTGTTCATGGCTTAATCTTTACAAATTAAAAGCCTGGAAAGTTGTGTCTTGTCTCTCTAACCGGAATGACAAAGGGAACAGTTTGGCGTAGGTTCTTGGTGTCACTGTTTGGGTATCTGACAATCATTTAATCATTTGCTAATCCATCTTATGACACTGTGGACTGCTACAAAATCAGCCTAATTACCTAAATTGAAACTTACATGAATGGATTACATAAAAAAGTATAATTCGAATGAATCCACAGCAGTAGGATGTCAAACTATGCCAGTGCCCATCTGTGTATTCGGATTGTCATCATGCAAAACGGCAGGACTCCGTCGTGGCTAGTGAACACCTCCTCCATACCTAGAATACAAGAAACAATGAAATCAAAGAGAAATTAATTACCACTGCAATGCTTTGAAAACAGCTGCCACTTATTAACCCTTTCAAAATGTACCAGATACTTTGAGTGTACATTAAACTAGGCCCAAATTATCCCACAGCCAAACTATTTCCTATGTGATAAATGACTATTTAAGTCAGTGATATTGAATATGAAATAGTCATGCCAGTTGGAGTATCTGACAAAGCTTGCTGGGATGAGTCTGGAGCCAGTACAAGAATGGAAGGTTTGAGACAGTAATACATGGAGAGAAAGTGGAAACTAGATGTTGAGGCTACACCAATCAGCTTTACAGTCGGCACCAACTCCATCGCAACATTGGTTATGGATGAATTTAGAAACCTCATGGGAACACAATCAGAGAAAGAAACGATGTGTACTTACTTGGCTGCCCAGTTGGTTCGGACAGGTACTGCTGGTTGCCGAACGCCAGCCGATCCACTGAAATTACTTCCTGGGATCGTTGGTGCTCTGGGCTTACTCCATGAATTGAGATCTGCTGATGAAAAACCAGACGGTCATGATAAAAAGGCTACAAAGAGTGTTGGGATTTCAAGTAACAAATGACCAACAAAGTTTGGAAAAGGCAGTTTAAAAAAAAGACAGAAATATCCATTCCATTTAAATCCAAAGAATATAACAGCCATTCTATTTGACTGCTTTCACCTCTGACCTAAAGACACAATCATGCCATGGGTGTGACCTCTCACCTCTGGACAAATGGCACCATCATGCCATGGGTTTGACCTCTAACCTCTAACTCAATGGCACAATCATGCACCTTTTATGTTGTGAGTTTGTGCACATTCTGGTGAAAAGTAAGACATGTCAAAATTACTTGCCCAAGGTAGCAGATTAGTGCATGTCTCATAGCCATATGTGTTACTGTCAGCAACAGTCACATGACTAAGATGTGGCCTTAACGATGCACACTGCATAAAATTTGCATAATAACAAGTGCATTGATACAGTGTGGGCGTGTCCCTCCCACTGGAATTCTCATGGCAACACACTGCCATCAACAGGTCCAATACTGAGTCGGTGGCCAAGTCCACAAGACATGCCTCCCAGGTTGGAGTAGGTTAACGTCTTTGTCAGAATCTTCCTTACCAGAAATGCCAGAGGCTTGCTTCTGACCAAATGAAGGCATATAGCTTGTCCCGAAGGCTCCGTCTACTTTAGCATTGTAACGAGCTCCTGAACATGACGAGGGAAAAAAATTAGGAAATGTTAAGCAAATCTCTTCAACCACAATCTGAAATGAAATGTATCTAAAATAAAACTTTATACACGTTCACCACATGCATACCTAATCAACTTGCAAACTGGTAATGACCAAGGACACAAAATAAGATTAGCTACATTGCCGGGCTCTTCTAAGTTGGGGGGGGTGGAATAAGCTACATCGCTTGGCTCTTCTAAGCTGGGGGGGGAATTGAGGAATGAGTTTCCTTCTTGGCTATGTCACTGGACATGTGGCTCCATTGTTTTTATAGTTTTAGATCACAGTTTTGGTGATGGCACATCAACACCACAATTTAGAACAAGTGTGCAGAATTTGATAATTCATTAAGCCTAACCATGCTGAACCCAACAAGGTTATGC